TTGTTCTTTTCTTCTTATTTTGCTTTTCTGTTTAACATATCATCGACACTCCTTTATTTTATTTCTTTGTTCACCAAAATTATCCCAACTCGTTTGTTTTTTTCAAGAACTATTTCACATATCATAGATATAGACAAAGGTTAGTATAGTAGTCATTATTTCTTTCTCTCGGTAAAAGAAAATGAATTGGCTCTATAATAGAAATTTTTTGCCACAAACATACATATCGGTTAAACATATATCATACATTATACTTTGTCGTTTTTTTATTAGTGCATAGGTTTTTAGTTGAATAAATTGACAGAATTCAACAATATTCTCCTCTTCATCGTTTCTTCTTCTCATTTTCTTTCTTTCCTTTTTTTTTTTGTTGCATTTCAACATACCGCGCTGAACTGAAGAACAAATTGAATGAGCCAATTATTATTATTATTAATTTTTTTCGAATATCATCGAAAATATTTTTCTATTGTTCGATTTTTTACTGTATAACAGCTAAAACATATAAACAAAAGAAAAAAATATATTTGTTTTAAATGGTTGTTGTTGTTTATACATATTTATTTATGATTGCTGCAGGATCAATACATCTCTGACTTTTCTATTATCATATGATTAGAATAAACTGTTACTAGTCCAAAAGACTAAGAGAAAATAATCAATCCAAATCATTATAAAAATTAAATAATTATATACCACAAACAAATGTATTCACCTTAATCGAGATAAAATACGATAAAGAGTAAGTTATTATTTAATATTAATTTTGAATTATTAAAGAACAAATCTATTAATGGTTCTGTTTGATATATCAAACATACTTTCATATTAAACACTTTTCATGTCCACAGATAATGAAATGTAGAGACAGAATGTAAATATATTGATAACTAATAGTATGTGAATAAAAATAATTTTCGTTCGCAAATAAAGATTTGTTAAAACCCTCAAAAAATAACCTATTGTCAAATGAAGCGTCAGTAAGTAATATGTAAATCACATTTTTCATAGGTACAGTGCATCTATAGAAAACTTTCCTTTTAAAAATTCAATTTAATAGTTTGCCTGAATTTTTTCTCTACTATTGATGTGTGTGCTATAATCTCCATATGTATGTGTAATAAACTTGTCAAATAATTTTATACGCATAACCAAACATGTCGTGTAGACAATTAACAGAGGAAAGACATTCTAAAGTTTTTTCTATTTTTTTCCTGTTTGATTACTATTGTGATTTAGAAGTCAAGTAATAACATGAGTATTTAACAGGAGGGTAGAAAAACAACAAAACTTTGAAACGACATTAGGGTACGGAGAAGGAGGAGATAAAAATTGAACATCATCATAGTGTAGTCTCAAGCGAATAAGCGAAAAATATTACAACTCGTGCATTACACAGCATCATAGAATAAAAAATAACGTTGTTAAACTTTCAGATACACATAAAAAAAAAAAAAAAGATGTTCATTTTTTCCGTTATGTATTTTTAATACGGAACATGCAAAAAAAATTGATCACTAATGATACTTAAAACATAAGGGCAAATAACAAACATTTTTGGTGTGAATTATTTGACAGAGACTGACAAGTATGTAATTACAAATATACACGTGGTCAAAGGGTTGAGATCTACTTTTTGATAATTCCTTTAGAATAAATCTCCGAATTTATATATCATCTTCCCTTTGCAAACTGCAAATTTCAAGATAAGCATAGCAGCGTAGATAAGATTAGTTGTCACAAAGCATATTCAGAAATGGCCAGCAGCTGGATTTTCGAGATATTCTAAACTTGTAAAGGAATCAACTCTGGGCGACTGATTTTACGGCAATTCTGTAGAAATCTTATAGTTACCTTGTAAGAACCTTATACAAGGCATTCGATGGCTTCTATACTCTCTTCTCGTGGTTGTTTTCTTTTCCGTGCAGTGGCTCTGTATTTACAAGGCTTTGATTTTTTTGTGCTTTCCCTTGACACGAGATGTTTTCTTGAGCATAAAATAAACTTTCAAGTTCAAGTTCGATAGAAATGCGTAAGACATTGATAAGATTCTTATATGAAAAACATATAAGAATCTTATAAGATTTTGACAAGATAAGTTATATAATTATTTTGTAAAAATTCCTGACATTTTAATAAGGCAACATAATAAATTTTATTTCTATCAATCAGAGTCCTTCATCATATGCAAATATGAGGTTGGAGAATTACAATAACATTTACTGCGGGCGTTTTTGTTCTTGTTGCTCTATTATGCTTCCAATATCGATTCTTTGCATCATATTTTTCTATGCCTAGAAAATTTGGAAAGTCTTACAGCTCTCTATCTCGCTCATTCAGAACCATTCATCGGCCTAAATTACTGCTGCTTTCAGCATTTTATTTCTCATTTTAGTAGTGGAAGTATAATATTCCATCGATCACACTATTTTGATCTGATTGCAATCCTTTTTCATTAAAAATCATAATTTTAACTATTTATATCTTTTTCTTTCTGACGATATACGTTGGAAGAGAAATAAAGAATACGTGCATGTATCGCCTAACATAGATGTAAGCTTCGTCCGTCTTCGTTCTAACGTATGTCTCAACAAAACAATATCTAAGTAGATCCGTCCCTATCTCGCTGTAATGCTAGTGTCTTTGTAGAAGGTACTGAGGTAGATAAGTTCGGATTCCGAGTTGGTTTCGAACGAAATAGCCAGTATTCTACACAAACAAATGTAATTAGTGAAGAACAAGATTTTTAACAATTAGCTAAACAAACGGAATGTAATGCAAAAATGAACTAAAGTACAAACGTTGAAGAAATGAGCTGATAGGATATTAGCAAGTTAATAAAACGCTCTGTGCCTCTATACTGAAAGATTTTATAATAATGTCCTTTGACGTATGAAATACACTTAATCGTGACTCACATACCATAACACACATCGTCTATCGAGAATCGCTTAATTACCGTTAGTACGCCTGTAACTTAGCTCATAAATAGAATAATAACTACACTGGAAAAAAGTTTACGATAAAACTCCCGAACTATCGCTCGAATAAAATTTTGTCTGCAGAAAGAGAACATCTACATACTATAACAAATATAAAGTTCCAAGTAACCATATTAATCGGATAAAGCGTTAATAGAGAAGTGCTCGTGACAACGTTTGTATTTTGTGCGTTTTTATATTGTCGATTTTACTAAAATCTTAATCTGGTCTCAAGCTATAGCTGCGAGACAGGATAATGAAAAACAATCGTTATTTTCACATTTTTAATTAGTATGCAGATCATTTTATGCCTGTCTTACAGCTATTTTAATCAGTTATATTGGTTTGTTTGTCTAGTGAGGGGATAGTGAGTAAACGTATCTAAAGAGAGAGGATGGTATACCCTTCTTTTGTTTTGTCACCTCAGTGGAAAGCACTCTTTCAGCTTCTTTCTCAGTCTTCATGGTTCAACATTGTGACGAAAACGGTTCGAAAGTGGAGTAGTTTCTGCAGCAATGGAATGAGTCGCGCTGTAACATAGTGTTTATCCTTGATGAGACTGATTTTTTCTCTCGCACAAAATTGCTATGTGCTGCAGAAATGCTCTGTACTCTGGAAGAAAAGTCCGGTTAAAACAGAAGACACACTGGCCATGCGTCAGTTCGAGACATAATATTCAAAGAAGTATTCTTGAGCATATTAATCAAACCAAAATTGTATACAGATCAGGGCTAGTTGCATTCCACATCCCTATAAGGAGGATTTTATTAGATCCTTATATCAGACTGTTATAAGATGCTACGTATTCCATCGACTGCATTATTAAGACTTTCATACGATTTCTATAGATGATTGATTCTCTCAGAAAGATTCAGTCACCTGATCTTAAGAAAGATTTTGGTACAAGAAGTTAAGAAATTTCAAGATATTCAAGATCTTGAGTTCTTGAAATCTTTAACTTCATACATTTTCTTACCAAGGTCTTGATTCAAATTGTTTCACTAGGGACTTAGTCAATGTAAAAGGAACTAATCTCCTTTAGAAAAATTTAAAGATTTTTTCCTACCCATGGAAAAGTTCAGGAAGAACCATCATTGTCGTTTTTCAGTGCTCAAAGAGAACAAATATTTTCTTAATGCACTTGCTGCAAAGAAAAAAAGTTTCATTTTGTCGCTCTGAGTGAGATGGCGTCATCTGTATCGCTCCGATTTCATTGGGATAAACATCTACAAACTAATACAGAATGAATCATGTTGTCTCAGGAAAAATGTTTTGGATAGACTTCATATTAGTGGAATGAAACTTGGGTTTTTGTCTCACAATATAGTCCGGATTAGACGAAAGTTGAAATGCATTCGTAGCTTTGGTCCTAAGGATGACTTCTTGATGTAAAGTTGGATTAATTCAACAAAATCTGCCACATTCAACGTGGACTCTTGTCTATAAAAGAACGTTCTAAATTTTATTTTCGCTCGATTTCGTGTGTTTGACACTAAAAATAAAGACAGTAATGTTTTGTTACATTCTGAGAAATAGAGAGCATTTTTAGGTTTTCACCTTCGTTCATAACCGTTTATTAAGAAAGAAAATTATGATTATGATCGAGAAGCAAAAACGCGTTTTTTAGATAAAACGAAGAAAAGTGTATTTTCGGAATACTTTTGACAAAGCAAAAGCCACATCACAGAGAGTCTTCTGATCCGAACTTTAGTGTAGTTTACAAGATTGTAAGCACCACGATATGAGAGCCGAGAGCGTATCCTCCCTCAATAATTTGAAACTTATTAGCGACTTCTGCGAAAAGGCTGCTACTGTTTAAAAGTAGTTCTTCAGGCACCATTAAATGATGCCTCGCTCGATGTTGGCTTGCTGGAAAGTGACAAAAAAGCATTTTGGATAGTAATTTCTATTCAAAAGTATTCAATTTAGCTATTGAAGGGATTGCTTTATTTAGTGCCAAACGGTTGTTTAGCAGTAACTGTTCATAATAAAGCATTTATTATTTCGTTTATTTTTTAGATGAAAGAAGTGGGTAATGGATATGTTTGTCCTAACGATCGTCAACTCCAGTTACGTGCAAAGTATGTTTGTAATACATCTCAATCATTACAGTATTTTTTATATCTCTTTATTTAAAGACTCAATTCTGGCTGGTCCTTTCATACATCTCGCACGAATACAAATCGTAGTGTTCCCACCGCGATGAGATTAAATAATCAACAAACATTTAAAGATGAAGAAGTAGAAAGAATCAAAAAAGTAATCGAACGAGCACAACGAATAGATATGATCGAGCAGCAACGTGTCGGGTAATTGTTTTACGTTTCTTTGAACAATAAGTAATATAGATTTTATGATGCTTGCTATTCTACTTATTTAGAAAACTAATTGATCGTCTAGATAATATGAAGAAACATGCAGCTGGAAATGGATCTACACAATGTGTTTTATGTGCAGATAGCTTTGGAATGTTAGGAGCTTCGTCGGTGGCGTGTACTGACTGTCATAAAGTAAATATTCATGTTCAGAGCAATTTTTTCTAAAAAAAAAATTCTGTTCTAAAACTTATTTCTCTTTATCCAACCTTTATAATGTCTACTCTCCGTTCTACTAGTTTCTTTTTATTTTTACGTGTAGAGTGTTTGTAATAAATGCAGTATTGAAACAATGAACCCAGCAAATCAACAGACTGTCTCGTTATGTAAAATCTGTAGCGAAAATCGTGAAGTAAGATGATAGTATACTTTAAGTATTAAGATAAACGTGTTTTTTTCAATTTTAGCTATGGAAAAAATCTGGCGCTTGGTTTTTTCGTTCCTTACCACCTTATGTTCTTCCATCAAGTGTCAAACAGCCTTCTCCAGTAGCATCAAATTTCACGAAAAGTATTTGATTAACAAGAGATTAATATTTTAAACAATTTCTATAGGCTATTTTGTGTTTATAGGCGATCAGAATTCGTCAGATGATGATAGTAGTTCTGATGAACATCAACATCGTCTGTCCAATAATAAATTTACTCATCAACAATCGCCAAGTAAGAAAATATGCCATTCAGTAATGAAATGTGAAATGCCTTGTCCTTTTAGCTTATGCTACAACAACTATGAGTCTGCCTCAACAACAGTCTGAGCAACATCAACAATTAGAAAGTGCTTCTTCGATGCCGACAACAAATGAGAATAGTATGGACTCATTTAAATTAGATGGAGACAGGAGTAGTACGAGTACAAAAGGTGACATATTCATCATGTATAAACCGTAATCATTAACTATGCTTATCTATTGTTAGAATTATCAATTGACGATTATATTCCAAAATCACAAACAAAATCTGCTTTTGTAACAACAACTGTAAATAGTAATAATAATATTAGCAGCAATTCGTCTCCTGTTCTAAATACATCGCCAATTAGTGAAAACTGTGGTAAGCAAAACCAACTGACATAGATAATAACTATTGAAAAACTAATAGATAACTCATTTAACTCAATGTTTACAGGCTATGGTTCACTCGAATTTGAATTGTTATATAAAGATAGTTTGAACATCTTAACAATACGTTTAATTAGAGGAAAAAATCTATCTTCCTGTGATTCAAATGGACTCAGTGATCCATACGGTAAGCTAAATAATAAATATATTTATTTCACTATAGATAAATACATCACTTTTTTTTCTTAGTGAAAATTCATTTGGTTCCTGGAGTAGCTAAAGCAACGAAATTACGGAGTAACACAATACGTCGTACATTAAATCCAGAGTTCGATGAAACATTAGTGTATCATGGCGTCACAGTTGAGGATATGAAAACAAAAACACTCAAGTAAAATACATTCGTTTTATTTTTTCAAATAGTACTATGATCTATCGTTTTGTCAAGTAATCGAACGATAAAACTTTATTGTTTTATTTATTTTTTTACATTGTTTAGATTAACCGTGCTTGATGAAGATTCTATTGGTGCTGATTTTATTGGTGAATATCGTTTGAAATTATCATCAATTAAAACAGATACGAAAGAATCATTTTCTGTTTATTTGCATAACAAAACAGAAGTAATATAACGCATTATTTTTCTTACCACTCATTTCAAATAGAAATATCAAGATAATTTTAGCGAAAATCTATCTTGTAATATTTTTCTTTATTTAGGATGCTGAAGTAAGTCGCTTATCGCATGTTTGCGTGAGCACAATAAAAACTCATGTTGCAGTGTTGTTTTTGTTGTTGTCGTTAGGAGCAAATGTAAAGATTAATATAAGCTTTTATTAAATTATAGAAATAGTATATGAGTAGCAAACCTTGTTTAAGTGGAAGAAAAATTTGTTCATTAATTAGTAAAAACGGTTTTGATGGTTACTAGTTGCTCTGAGCAATGTGCAAAGGTATCTTGTTCTGCTAGATCCTAATAATAATTAAATCTTGTCAGTTTTATAAGGGGAAAAGCCTCATAATCGCAATGGAGTTTTAAAAATGCAAAATCGGTTTTGTTGTAACTTTAAGATGATTGTGGTTAGATTTTTCGTATACAATAGATCAAAGTTATTTATTCTTCATCTTTTCCAGTACTAAACGAACAGACGTCCAAGTAATCTATCTTTAGTAAAAGGTGGTGGAAAATAAGCTAGTTTTTTTTTGGAAATGGCTTCTGAAAAATTATAATTAAATTTCACTAGCATTTTTTTAAGCATGATCAGAAAATGCTGCTTAATGAAAATGCTTAATAAAAATAATTTTCTTGGTTTTTTATTTGCTGTTTGCTAACTGAGGTTCGTTTCTCTCGACCAGACACTTTAAGAGTAACAGAACAAGAGTTACTATACCTGTTTTCCAGTCAAAGTGACTTATCTCTTAACTAATCTATGTTTTTTAATGCAAAATTACGCTATTTTCTTGATTATTATTATTTTCTGTCCATTATCTGCTTATTCTCTATATATAAAACAATTGTGCCTTTTTTGTCTATATACAGTGACTCGAAAAATTATTTGTCCATTTTTATTTTTAATTTTTCTCTTTAACCATAATACCTAGAACAAATTTGAAAAAAGATGTAAACAGCTGGAAGAATTTTCAATCTTGTGTGGCGTATATAAAGACTCCATCGACATTTCTGAAATCAGGATTTATGGAAAATTAAAATCTTACAAAAAAAAAAAACGCTTACCCGAATTCGATCGAGAATTTTTTTATAGATAACTCTGTCATATAGAGCAAACATTTCTGAACAAAATGAGACGTCTCCGAGCTCTCTATGATATTTTTTCATGAAACAGCACTCAATTTACGATAAATAATTTTTCGAGCCACTGTTACGAATAGCGAAATTATGTGCTTTGACATCTCATTTGATACTGACACATGCATGGTTGTTGAATCAACTGATTAATATCTTTTTAACCGACTGGTTTACTTTACTAGTGACTATATTATTTTAGTTACCTGGTGATGAAGATAAAACTGAACGTGGTAAATTATTAATTGGTTTACTGTATTCTAAATCGACGAATGATTTTCATGTTAAATGTATTCGTGGTAGTCAGTTATTACCTATGGATTTCGGCAAAACTTCAGATCCATATATCAAATTATCGTTATATCCAGTACCACCTGATTCCAAAATTGGAGATAAATGGCATTTTAAAACATCTTGCATTAGAAAAACATTACATCCAACTTTTAATGAAGAATTTGTTTTTCATCAAATACAATTGAAAGATTTAATTAGTAAAACGTTACAAGTCACTGTGTATGACAAAGATGTGGGCAAGAAAGATGACTATATAGGTAAATTCAGGTTCATTTAAATCTTATTAGAGTTAATTGATTATTTCAAGCTGGAAGAATGACAAATGCTGATTTTAAGTGAATAATTTTGACTTTACAATTATTAAAACGAGCAAAACTAGTTACCCATTTTATAGGCCGCTAATCTCTTTTAGGTGGATTTGAACTTGGCCAAAATGGTTCTGGCGATGAATTAGGACATTGGTTGACAATGGTTAAATCACCAAATCAATGGACTGAGATGTGGCATAAATTAAAGCCCGATCATTTTAATCATTCTGACTTAGACTCATCCATTGCGTCTAAATATAAATAATATACTGATTTTATTTTTATCTTTTTCTTTCCTTGTTACTGTTATTTATGTTTATGAAACTATTTTCTTTAAGATTTGTATACGCAAAAACAAACAAACACCATGAAACTTGTTCGATAATTTTTTCTTAATCTTCCTTGGCATTTTGTGCCTTATTGTTGATTACATAAGCGTGTATAGGTAAACAGGGACATCGTTTCTGTCTTCCTTGTTTGTTTATCGAACCCATTTTCTTTTTTCTTTTTGTGTCGATAATCTCAACCATTTGCTCATCTAACTTTTTCTTTGATAATGTATATGTGTCTGTGTTACGTACGTATCAAAATCAAAGAACATATGTGTGTATGAGTTTGTTCTGAAAAAAAATCTGAAACAAACAAAATAATTTCAGCAGTGAAAATCAACAGTGATTGTAAACATAATATTTTGTTCATATTTATTTTTCTTGTCTTTTTTTTTCTTCTTCTTGTTGTGAATTTTGTTATATGTTTCATTTTTATATCTGTATAAAAAAATGAGGTATTACTTTACAGATGCTAAAATAGTTCTATAGTATTTTTTGTGTTTCTTCCAAAACAAATGTGTGTGAAAATAATGATAGTACAGTGCGAAAAAAAATAAATAAAAAACTTTTTTGAATAAATCAGTTGAATATTTTAATAATGTCTTAGGATAGCTACAAGTTTTCTAGGCAGGGATTTGATCGGTACTCTGTTTAGTTGCATAAGATAAAGATTCTATGAGTTGAGAATCACAATAGTTTTCACTATAATGTCTTCCCAAGAAAGTTAAAAATTTCTTGATCAATTTTGAATATGAAAATTAATATATCCAGTAAGATTCTAATAGTTGTCGACGTGTATTCGAGATATCTAAAGATAAACCTAGTCAATTAATGGTTCCGAGCTCGACGAGTGATCAATGTAATTCCTTATTGTTATTCTAAGTATTTGCACTGATAATAATCCAATTTCGACTTTGCTCATCTGAGAACGAACTAGCACTAGAGTTATGCTACACAATTATTCATGCTGAAACTTAATCATTGAAGAAAAGTTAGCGTAATTAAGGCTCCCTCTCAGAAATGGTGATTTTCAGTCAAAAAATCGGTTTTGAGATACGCACTAGCCTGAAGTGTCTACTTTCAGAATCTGTATCGCTTTTGGTTACAAAAGTGGTTTTCCACGGATTTTGAGTTTAAAAGAGGAAAAGAAACTACATGGTCTGACAAGCGTCGATTTTTGAATCAGATCTTAATTTTTTGTCAAACTGAGGATTTTCAGAAAACCCGGAAGGCGTTTTTGAGTTTTGGAGATTGGTGGTTGCCTGGAAAACCAACAAAGGTTTAATTGAAAAATCGGTGCCGGTCAGTCCATGTAGTTAGGTGTCTAGTTTAAAATAAAACAAACCCGGACTCTCCAGCTTTGAAGTATATTAAAAACTTCAGAGGTCTTTTTGGAACTTGATCTCTGGAAAACTCCTGAATCATTAGACTTGGAGACAAAAAATTTTTTTATTCCGGTAACTCATTAAACCTAACATTTATGGAAACTTCCGTCAAGATCGGATGTACGGTGTAGTAGACAATTTTTGAGGGGGGGGGCTTAAGCTGAATATGTCATTGAATAATCATGTTTAACATACCAAAAATTGTGATTTAGACTGCAGTAACGTGTGATTTAGTGAAACGAACAATGAACCAAGAAACTTTATTCAACACCATCGAAAATGCAGAGTACTTCATACTAGAAAGATAATACTCAAAAAACGTTTTTCAATCTACAATATGCAGGTGTTCGCGTTTCCAATGGGGAATTGTTTAAAAAAGCCGGAAAGATTTGTTTAGCAATATTAAAGAAATCAAGAGCTTTTTGTAGTCGAATTGAAACGTTCAATCTATGTTATTCTGAGTAATATTTTCATGTAAACAAGCAAATATTTCAATATTTATTGACAAATATCGTTATTGATATGTCAGAGCAATGTACAAAAATGCATATAGTGATATGAACACCTAAACATCTAGATGCTGCATTATACACGATAATATCAACAGTAGATGATCAGAGTATTATCAATCTCATCGGAATAGTGTTTTCGTTACCATTTCTTTTGGTTCTCTGTTCTCATTTCGCTCGATTACTGTAACCTATGATTGAATTTAAAAAATGATTTGTAAAACACGCAGTTACAAATTACTTATAAGGAAAATGGAAAAAATATGAGGTTAAGTTGCTTTTAACGAGATAATTGCCAGATGCAATTTATCGTCTAACGATCATAGTTTTTAGTACCTCTGAGCACAGCTTAATTATGTGAAGAAACAAAAGATTTCTGAGATGCTAAGGAGACTTTCAACGTGCTGAGACATAGTGGTGCCGGTGCTCATCCGAAATGCTACTACTAATAGATACGTGGCTATCACTGTAAAGAACATATTCTTCAAATCTGTAGAGAACTCGAACAATTAAGGCACGTGAGTTCTTCATTTATCCCATATAATATATAGAATTAGTCATGAGTTCTTTCACTTTCCAGGAAATTTGTATAAGCTTCATGAAAAAATCAAAGAACTCAATGTAAGTTTTTTTAAAATATGCCACTATTGAAAATAATCACTCTTTTTCCTTATTATACGTTATCAGCAGTTAGACAAATTGCTTCGAAAACAAATAAAGGGATGGACACAATAGAGGACCCGGGTCTTATATCGCGTCCTAGCGCTCATAACTTTGAAGGGGCCCCTTCAAAGTTATGAGCTGATATCCGTATTTTATGTTTTTGACATAACGTATCCAACAGTTTAAAAACCGTTGTTGGAAGTCTTGGAGTTTTTTATCTTCGACAGGAACAATCATCCATCAAGTGCAAAATTGACTCTACCGGCACAAAACTTTATTATCGAATATAATCGAAAGACGCGATCATGATACATAATTAGTCGCTCCGTTAAAACATCTTACAAAGGACACCGCCGGATAAGTAGCGATATCTGCCACCCTACGTTTTCATATTCTGAAGACATGGTCAGATAGAACTCACTCTGGCGAACATGAATATGATGTCAGAAACGTTCAGAACCACTTA